GTGGCCGCTGCGTTGACTCTTTTGGGCGAGCTGCATTCATAGCTCAGCTGGATAGAGCAACAACCTTCTAAGCTGAACATCACAGGTTCAAATCCTGTATGATGCTGAATTTTTCAGGAGAGGGGCCGAGTCCTCGTAGGTCTGTGATGAGTGCCCGAATTTGGAGAGTGAACCTGGAGTCTGGGCGGACAAAAGGGACTTCCAGCCGTCTTCTTGTCCTGTCGATAGAACCCACTTTGCAGACTAAGTGCAGTGGTGAAACAGTAGAAGTCCTACCGTAAGTTTGTTCTGCGCTCCGGCCTTAATTGCGCTCGGATATATCCAAATCTAATTGCATTTCAAACTCCGTTTTAGCAGTTTACTCAGGGCTGGAGTTTCAGTTTCAAATGCAGTTGAAACTCGGGCTGGCCTTCTTTAGCAGTTCAACCCTCTCCCACCCCCCCCAGAGCGCGGTCAAGACATTTCGGCCGTGGCCCCGCCACACGGCAGGAAAAGAACAAGAAAACGGCCATAGGCCTGACTGAACTGCTTGAAAAGGACAGCACGAGTTTCAAGTGCATTTCCAACTCAGGGGCAAGCGTGTAACCCTGACTGCACCGCAGTTTTCTCTTTTTTTTTGGTTGTGAAACTCCTCTTCCTTGGGGGAAGCATGTGACGCGCAGGGGAACCTCACACCCTGCTCTGTCTTCCGGTCGGAGTGATAAGTTGTGCCGAATAGGCCCTGAAAGACAGCAGAATGGGGTGTGCCAAGGATTTTTGGGAAACCGAGTGTGGGGACTCAGACGAACTGAAGTCCCCAGTTCCGGTTCTGGCGAGAACAGGTCACTGACGCACCGGAAGGAACCAAACGCACACAATTTTGCCGAGAACGGGTCTCTCTCTCTCTCTCTCTCTCTCTCTCTCTCTCTCTCTCTCTCTCTCTCTCTCTCTCTCTCTCTCTCTCTCTCTNTCTCTCTCTCTCTCTCTCTCTCTCTCTCTCTCTCTCTCTCTCTCTCTGTGTGTGTCTGTGTGTGTGTGTGTGTGTGTGTGTGTGTGTGTGTGTGTTTTGCGTGTGTGCCCGTTCGTAAACAAAGGGAAAACAAGAACACAAAACTCCTTAAAAATAAAACAAGGGGGCATGTTCTCATTTTATTTGACCCACACATCTTCTTCGATTTGAAGTAGTTTTTTTGTTGATTCTAGAATTGACTGAAGTTATGTAGGGGAGGTAGTCCAGAAGCAGGGAAAACTGCTATAAAAAAAAAAAAGGCCCAAGAACAGGGTTTGGCAGGTACCGAACTCCTGGACCGCAGGGGTCCAGCATTCAGGCCGGCGCCCCGAACAATTGGGCGGGGAACCCTGTCAGAAGGGTATTTCACTCTTCCACTATCTTTTAGGGGCATTTTGACATATATCTTATCTTTGAGGGGTATAACACAAACTTTCCCAAAAATGAAACAAAACAACTTCTTTACAATAACTTGAAGTCCATAACCTAAAAAGGGGAGACCAGGAATCCCTCCACAAAGAACCCGAAATTTAAAGTACAGGATCATTACCCATTTATTTTTACATTTCTTTGATTGTTTGTTTTTAATTTGGGGTAACTACTGCGCAGTCACAAAAGCAATTTGTAATTGCATGTGAAACTGCGTTTTAGCAGTTTAGTCAGGGCCCGAGTTTCAATTGCATTTGAAACTCGGGCTGCCTTTAGGTAGCAGTTCAGTCAGGGCACTCTTCTATCCACGAACAGCAGAAAAAAAAAAAAAAAAAAAACATCCCTTATGCTGTGATTGCCGTCCTATACAGGATGCTACAGTCTTTGTCTGGAACTGAATGAAGCTAGGCAGTTAGCTGCCTCGCGTGGAATCCGCCCTGCCTGGTTGGCAGGGCCCTACAAGGACCTCACACAAGAAACAAAAGGAAAACGACCTGTTTTATGTTCCTCACTTCCTGGCCAGATACATTCCTCAAAGCACTGGTGAGGTGAGGGCCTTCCCGACGTAGGTGGATTTGAAGTTCCTCGTTTCTTTACTTTTTTATTTCTTCTTTTTCTTTTTTCTGTTTTTGGCCTCCATCCCTGCCCCGAGCCCCCCACTTCTTTGGAGTAGGCTACTCTTGAGACTTCGCGTTTGCCTGTGAAGGGTAGGACCTGCAAATCTCGGCCGTGGCCAGTCTAGGGTGTGGCCGAGACATCTCGGCCGTGGCCCAACCATGGGGCTGTTTTGTTTTTTTTTCTTTCCAGCCGCGGAGCGGCACAGCGCATTACGGCACGCAACCAAAAATAAAAAAAAAAAAAAAGAAAGAAAGAAAGAAAGAAAGAAAGAAAGAAAGAAAGAAAGAAACGGCCATGTACCTGACTGAACTGCTAGAAAAAGCCAGCCCGAGTTTCAAACTGCTAAAACGCAGTTTCAAATGCAATTGAAACTCGGGCCCTGACTAAACTGCTAAAACGCAGTTTCAAATGCAATTACAAACTGTAACCCTGACTGCGCCGTACCATAAATATTTTTTTTTTGTATGACAAACGGGCCCAGTGCCCAAGGGCCGAACAGTTCTTGAAAGCCTCATCCTCCGGCTGAAACAACAGCTCGCAATGAAAACTGGACAGAGCCCCGAGTGGTTAAGTCAACAGACAACTGGTAACCAGATCTACGTCGAGGTCCAAACCGTCGGTCCAAACACAAGACCTAATATGCCTGGGTTCAAACCTCAACTCCGACAATAATATGTGTGTGTGTGTGTGTGTGTGTGTGTGTGCTGCATGCACAGAGTCTACCTTAGTGATTATTTCATCGACAAAATTGATAACTCAATCTTATATATGCCTAAGTTCAAAACCTAAGCTCCAACCTTACAATCTTTGCCAGGGTTCGAACCCCGACTCCAAAAACATAATATATGCATCTAACCTCAAGACCCGTGTCTGGTTTCAAACCCCCGAGCTCCAACAATATATACATGTGTGTGTCTGTGTGTCTGTGTGTCTGTGTGTCTGTGTGTGTGCTCCATACGCACAGTCTTCTTTGGTGGGTTAACTCATCGGTCACTTGGCGGTCAATGGGTAACTCACGATCTATGCCTAAGTTCAGGCCCTAGCCCCAACATCGGGATCCTTGCCGAGGTTCAAACCCCAACTGGGCCAACTCCAAGTCTCGAACAACATATGTATGTGTATGTGACACTGTGCTGCATGCACACAGTAGACCCTAGTCACCCTAGTGGTTAACCCATCAGCCAATTGCAACCCAATCCGATCTATCCCTAAGTTGAAACACTAGCTCCAACCTCAAGATCTATTCCTGGGTTCAAACCACAAGTCCAACAATATATGTGTGTGTATATGAGTGTGTAAGTGTGTGTGTGTGTGTGTGTGTGTGTGTGTGTGTGTTTGTGTGCATGCAGCACACACCAGCAGAGTTCCCTTTAACCCTATGCACCCAGGACCCTGAAAACAAAATGTCCAGCAGCACCTCCCCCCCATTTGTGTGTATGTGCCCAGATTTACGTGAAATAATTCCTGGAGCTTTGAATGTGTGTGGCATCATTGACATGCAACACATCTGAGTTGAACTTCTCTTTGTCCCCTCCGAACTGTGAAACATAAAGCATCCAGCAATACCTCTCCATTTTCCCCATCTGCACCTTCCCAGCACCCTGCACCGCATGAGGACTACCCGGCCACAGACAAAACAAAACACGCAGCTTCTGCCGACGAGATCAACACCTCCCAAGTGCTACCAAAGAATCTGAGACCACGATCGGACATCTCTCGAGCTCTGGAATTCGCAGAGCAATTAGAAAGAAAATGGACTCACTGAAAACAAAACGACGCAAGCACCATGCGTCCACAAAGCAAGCACCACCCATATGTGTGTGTGCCAGATTCATGTGCTCAGAAACCACCGCCAGATAAACCACCAATACTTGTGAAAGTCACGGCGACATGCCTGCCACGACATGAAGGGGTGAACGGGCCTAGGGTGCTACCATGCTGGCAAAATTGGACAGCCGTATTCTCCCATGGCCCAGCACGGTTAGATTAGAGGCACCTGAGACTGATAAACTTAAAGACAGAATTAGATAGTTATGAAGTAGTTGAAGCAAAAAAGAAAAAGAAGGTCAAAATGAAAGCATACTCAGTAACTGTTTTGAACTAAGGTATTCTGTCCTTCAATGTGTGTAACAAGGGTCCCCCCCCCCCC